TCGTGGACCAATCCATTGCAGAGAATTGCCAGATGAAAAGAGATTGCTGTAGTGGTTTTATTTCCTTTTTAGCGACTTCCCCAAGCCACTTTGGAGTTTTGTCCTACATTCCTTCCTTAACCATATCCAATCTTAATTCTAAAATAATTTCCAAGTGTTTTCTGAATGAAAGAAATATGCACGAGAAGCTATATCATCTTCGGATTTTGAAAATATGAACACTAATTTTTGAAAAATATCACACAAAGGAAAAATTTTTGAAACAGAAAATTATTATTGTTAAATTCTTGACTGATTTTGAAAGGCTTCATCAGATTTGCAATTAATTTGACTGCGAATTCATATATTACATCCATTAATTAACCTTCACAATAAAATAGTTATGATAATAGTAATAATTCTTTTTATAATAATAACAATAATGATAATAACAATAAGATAATAATGATAATAATAATAATAATAATGAAACCAGTTGAATTTTCTTAAAATAATCAATAATATAATTGGATTTATCAAAATGATACGATAAAACAAGTAGTAGAATTTTTTTCGAATTGTTCGTAATAAAGTGAAAAAGAAAAATATTTTCAAAAATTATTTTAATTTTGTTCAAAATTAAAATCTTTAATTTTTATTCTTTGTTTTAAAAAAGATATGAAATTAATAGAATAAACGAATTGCATAAATTTTATTATTTCATTGTTGCAATCAATAATTGTCTTCTTGAAATTAACTTTTTTAATGAAATAATTATTCATTTTACAGTTCGAATATCTTTTGTTTTTGATATTAACAATGAAAAAGAAGCGAAGGACAAATTTCTTAAAGAATATTCTTTGACAAATTGCATTTCTGATGCTTTCATGTATGTCCAACAGAAAGAAAAAAAGCTGTCAAAATTTATTTCGTTCAATTGATTTGAAATTATTAATAATTTAAATCTAACAATAATTAGCAATTGTAATTTTCTAATGTATCTTAGAGATTTATCCCGGGAATACTCGGTATAGTTTGCATTTATTTTATAATATCAAAGTAATTAGTTAGTTTGAAAATTTAAAAAACTGAAATTTTTAAATGCGAAAAATTTTACCAACAGGTTTATTCTCCAGTAATTTATTAATATATATTTTAATCCATCATTTTTTTTTAGTATATCTCAGAGATTTATCCCGGGACTGCTCATTATATACTTTTTCATTCATTTTGTAATATCAAAATAATTAATATGAAAATTTAAAAAGCTATAATTTCTAAGATGTGAAAAATTTTAGTAACAGATTTAATTCTCCATTGAATATAATTTAATCCATCATTTTTTTTTAAAATATATCTGAGAGATTTATCCCGAGACTATTTTTAAAATATATCAGAGATTTATACCGAGACTACTCATCACATACTTTTCCATTCATTTTGTAATATCAAAATAATTAGTTAGTTTGAGAATTTAAAAGCTGAGACTTTTAAATGTGAAGAACTCTAGCGATAGATTTACTATTATTCTTCAGTAATTTATTAATTATATGTTAATTCGTCAATGTGTAAATGGCACATAATGAGCGATACAAATAAGAAAGAAAAGAGAAAATTTCTAAAATACACATTTTTCTAAATTTCATCAAAGAAAAGGAAAGAATAAAGAAAAAGAAAGAAATTACTTTTTAAAATTCTTTGAGCATAACATAATCTTTCCGCTGAAAATTGCAATATTTAAGTTGAAAAAATGCTAAGATCCGAGGAAATTTATGAAAGTTCAATTTCTTTTTTTATCAAATAAATCCATTAAATTATTTATTTTAAATTTTATAAATTATAATTAAATTTAAAGTCAGTAATTCGATAAATTGAAAGGTAAAAAAAAGAATAGTAAACAACATATTGACAAATATATTGTATTAAAAAAATTAAAAATATATTTAATAAACTGTTGAATTGTTTTCTCTACAATAATTTTTCTACGCATTTTTTTATTTTATAGTATATATATTTTAGATGGATTGCAAAATTTAAATCAAACATTTTATTTTTTGTCGTTATTCTTTTAAATTTTGCTGTGTAATATTTTTGATTATTATTGCAATCAATAATAGCATGCCACATGTCATTTATTATTTAAAATAAAATTTTAAAAAGAATAAAAAAATTAGAAAATTAGAAAAATCATGTAGATCAATTAATATTTGCACGATTTGTTGCCAATAATTCCTTTGCTAATGTAGCTTGTCCATTTCTTATCAATGCATCAATCAGTGGTCCAAGCCAATGATTCTTCGTTTTCAATATTTCAATTAGCTTATCAACTTGATCTTCATGTTTTTCCTGCATTAGAAAAACATTGATAATAATAATCATGAAAAAATAATTATTGATTGCTAACGTAGTCATAAAATGAAATTTAAATTAAAAAAGTAATTAATTTCATTCCTGGATTTAAAAAAACAAACAAGCTTATATTATTATAATTAGAGCTATAAATATTTAATATGTGATATGTGAATATAAATTTTAACGAAAATAGAATTTGAATATTATTTATGAACACTGCAATTTAATGCTGTCATACTTCTAACGTCACTTTCCCTTTCTTCAAATTTTCCGAATTTCCAAATTGACAAAAGTCGGAAATATTACATATAATTACAAATCAGCAGGAAATGATTATTATATCAATTTATAAAAATTTTAGACGCTATTTTAAGGCAATATGAAATTCTACGCTTCTTATTAAAATACGGTAATTTTCATTTTGTTGTTTGCATAGGAAAAATTATCCTAAAATATTTTGAATATAAAAATTATCAAAGAATGGATTGAAAAAAGGAAATTTGTGATTACAATTTTATTATTCTTCAAAATTAACACTTTTTTAAAAGTTTGAATAGAAATTATTAATAATTAAATAAACAAAAATTGAATTATTTTTAAATATTTCAATAATTAAAAAAGAATTATTCAAATATATAATAAATACCTCAGAATAAACTGCGCTCATTTCTTGTGAGCGTAAAACTTGCCGTGCAACCAACTGTGGAACTAAATCACGCATATCAAGACCAGTTAATTTTGATCGTAATTGATCCAAATGATAACCTTGTTCAATGCGAATATTAGCTAACGGACGTGGACAAGGTAACGTTTGAGAATCAGTAGACATTGTTTTACCTAAATTATTATTGTATTTTACGATCGCAAATTATTCGAAATAGCAAAAATTAATATTGATCGCATTAATAATACAAATTTAAAAGTTCAATTAGAATTTCTGAATCAATCAATAACTGTCATTTCTTACAATTAATCAAATAAACAGTTTTTTTTTGATATTCCATCTTTGATATCCGATTTCTTTTCCGGAAAAAAACGGAATAATAGTCGGAATATTAAAAAAAATTTTTATTTGATTATTTGTAAAAAAATGAATCCAAAAAAGAAGTATAAAATGCATAAAGAAATAAATTACAATCATGATATTGCACTGATAAATCAAATAAGAGTTATTATTATTGTTATCACCATTGCTAATTATCGGTAGGCAATCTTAACAGTATTGCATCAAAATCATGATAAGATGATTGACCTTTTATTATAGAAAATATTAATAACTTATCTATTTGGTAATGAAAATCATATGTCTGATAATTTGCAGGCATTCTTGTTTTCACTAATAGATAACAAAAACTTTGTTCTTTCTTTTCCCTTTTTTTGTTTTAGATCATTAATTTAATTGAACAACAAAAATGATAACAGTTTTATATGTTTTTTTTAATTGGTAATATTTACATTGTAAGAAATTAAAACATTAATTATTAATCAAAGCATATCGAAAAGTTCGAATTAAAAAACTCTCTATTAACATGATTCATGCAATCCGGATTTGCTTCCGGATCATCCTTCATTCCATTAAAATTACATTTGAAATGTTGACAATTGATAATCCAATCTCTTTTAACGGTTAAAATTTATTCATTGCATACTTTTTATTCGAACAATTAAAATAACATATAACAAATGATAATGATTATCTTATTCTCTAATGACTTTTTTCTTAAACAAAATTTTTTTGAAATTAAAATTATCATTTTATTGTTTATAAGATAATTAGCAATAGAGCAAAAAATAAGCGATATATAAAAAATATAGCAAAATTTCGCAAAATGTCGCATTTTCGTCAAATATTTCTGTGTGTTATGGGAAAACAATTTTGTGGTTAATAGTAACTTTTGTCGATAACTTTTTGGTGATAAGACTTTTAGTGATAAGTTATTTCTTTGGAAGGAAAGATATTTCAGTATATTTGTAATCGATATCTCTTACAAGAAAAATTTAATCATCTTTCTTTTTCTCTTTTCCATTAAAAAAAAAATGTAATGATACTAGAAATATCATTAAGGAAGATGATGGATTAGAGATATTTGCATGTTACACTTATCAACATATCATCTTATCTTTACTATAGTACATTGCCACCCATATTACATGCTTCAATTTATCATATTATCATACTATAAATGCAAATGAATTTTTTGTCAACAACATCAAAACTATGAAAATAATTCGTAATCTTTTATTAGAACAAGAAGAAAAAAGTGATTAACTTCTATTGATAATAATAGCTGATAGAAAAGATCAAATTTCAACATTCTTCGAATGTTGCTGCTAAAAATTCCAAGAGGGTGTAAATTATCGGTGTGTAATAAATAAAAAGTAGAACAATTTACAATGTATGCAAAAGAATTAAACATTCTCTTAATAATATAAACAATAATAATAGTTATTATTGTTCTATCTTCTCATATTTCTTTACTACCACCCCCAATTTCTTTATCTCTTCTACCTTATCACAATTACATATATCTCTTTTTTAAAAATCCAATTTTAAAGAAAAAAACCGAAATTTAAAAAACAAAATTTTTAATAGAAGAAGTTTCAAATGACCTTAAATGGAAAAGATGAGAAGAAATCACTTACTTCTATTGTACGCCTAAAAGAATTCCACACATAAGAAATAAATTGGAATAGTTAAAGAAGTTGTCTTATTTAAAATAATAATAATAAATAAATTGGAATAGTTAAAGAAGTTGTCTTATTTAAAATAATAATAATAAATAAATTGGGATAGTTAAAGAAATTGTCTTATTTAAAATAATAATAATAAATAAATTGGAATAGTTAAAGAAGTTGTCAATAATATTGCTACTTTTTTTTCCTTGTATTTATTTGAAATAATAAGAATAAATTAATTGGAATAGTTGAAGTTGTCAGCAATATTGCTATCTTTTTCTTCGTGTATTTATTTAAAATAATAATAATGAATAAATTGGAATAGTTAAAGAAGCTGTCAATAATATTGCTATCTTTTTTTTCTCATATTTATTTTAAAAAAGAAATAATAAGCACTTTTCTAAAAAAAAAATTCAATATGGTTAAATCTTTTCAAAAACCAATGAATATAAAAACTTCCAACATAAATTTTTGCTTAGGCTGGTTAAATTTAAAAGGAGAGAATAGGCACCAACCATCACATCATTTAGTATGTTTAGAGGGAAAGAGAGAGAGAGAGGGAAAGAGAGAGAGAGAGAGAGAGAGTGGAAAAGAAGGAGGAAAAAGAATGAAATGAGGGAAATATTCGACGTTTTTGCTATGTTTGTAAATTCGTTTTGAAACGAAGAAAAAAGTGAAAATAAAGAATTTCGAATTAAAGTGGCTTTTTCCCACTTTACTTCACTTTTCTTTTGGCCCTTTTTTTCCCTTCCGCTTTTTGTTTGTTTTATTTTTCAATATTTCAACGTTTTTTCATATATTCTATTCTTTCTATATTTCAAACCTTTTTTTAATATTCTATTCCTTCATTATGAATATTCCAAAGTTTTCCGAATATTCTATTCTTTCATTATCAAAGTTTCTTGAATATTCTATTCTTCGATATGAATGTCTCAAAGTTTCTTGAATATTCTATTCTTCGATATGAATATCTCAAAGTTTCTTGAATATTCTATTCTTCGATATGAATATCTCAAAGTTTCTTGAATATTCTATTCTTCGATATGAATGTCTCAAAGTTTCTTGAATATTCTATTCTTCGATATGAATGTCTCAAAGTTTCTTGAATATTCTATTCTTCGATATGAATGTCTCAAAGTTTCTTGAATATTCTATTCTTCGATATGAATGTCTCAAAGTTTCTTGAATATTCTATTCTTCGATATGAATGTCTCAAAGTTTCTTGAATATTCTATTCTTCGATATGAATGTCTCAAAGTTTCTTGAATATTCTATTCTTCGATATGAATGTCTCAAAGTTTCTTGAATATTCTATTCTTCGATATGAATGCCTCAAAGTTTCTTGAATATTCTATTCTTCGATATGAATGTCTCAAAGTTTCTTGAATATTCTATTCTTCGATATGAATGTCTCAAAGTTTCTTGAATATTCTATTCTTCGATATGAATGTCTCAAAGTTTCTTGAATATTCTATTCTTCGATATGAATGCCTCAAAGTTTCTTGAATATTCTATTCTTCGATATGAATGCCTCAAAGTTTCTTGAATATTCTATTCTTCGATATGAATGTCTCAAAGTTTCTTGAATATTCTATTCTTCGATATGAATAATTTAAAGCTTTTGCAATATTCCATTCTTCGATATGAATTTCAAAGCAATTAACTATTTAGGAAATGCAAAAAAAAGAAGAAAATTGTATAAACGAATATTTCAGAATGGTAAAATAAACTTATATAAATGATAAAATAAATGAATATAATAATAATTCATTTGAAAGTTCTAAAAATGTTTATTCAAAATTTTTTTGTTGTAAGAATTACTTTAAAAGTTTTTGTTTTTCTCTTTCCATGTGAAGTGAAGATCAAAGAACGGAAAAGAAAAAGAAAATAAATTTAAAAATTTAATTTTGGTTTACAGAAAATTAGCTTGCATGAAGGAAAAAAATGAATGATGATAATGATACTGATGATAATGATGATGATAAGGTTGGTTGAAATGAGCTGATTGAAAACATCTGCACAAATAGAATATTGCTATCAAATTAATTTTGTAAAAAAATCTTCTTAAGAAAATAAATAAAAAATTTTCAATTTTATAATATTAAAAAACAATGAATTTTAAATTTAAAAATTTGATTTTTATTTTAAAAATATTTTGTTTATTTAATTTCACTAAAACAAAGCTGGACTAATTAAAAAATTAATCCCAAAAATAATATTTTCAATATTTTTGTTTCTTATTTTAACTTACTGAAAGGAATAAATTCAATAATAAAAGTTAGACGGTAAAATGAAACTATTATTTGTATTTTAAAAAAAATTCCGATAACATATTTTTGAAATTTCCAAAAGAGCATAAAGTTAAATAATGTAAGAGTATTGATTGATCGATTTGTAGGAAAAATGTAACAGTTGTTGAAATTTTAATCTCTCTGATATTGAAATTTCAATAGAACATTGAATTTATTTTAGATACATTTTATATATCAATAGTGGATATGATAAAGTAAAATAAATTGATTAATGCATTTATATTTTGTTAGAAAATGCAAAGAAATTATTAGTTATTTTATTTATTTATTTATTTATAAAAATTGGTTGAACCTTTAAATTAATAAATAAACAAATAAATAAATAAACAAACTGATAAATAAATTCGCTGAAAATAGGTAAAATGAGCCAAAAAAAAGCTGTCATCAATTTAGTATATATATTGAAAAAGAATTTATACTTTGTGAAAAGCAAAGGAAGAAATAATAAGGAATGATATTGAAAACAATGAATGTATTATTAGCGAAATTACGAATAAATTAGTAAATAAGTAGAATGCAACGAAGTAAATAAATAAACAAATAAATAAATAATTAAATAAGTAAATAAATAAATAAATAAATAAGTAAAATAAGTAAAATAAACAAAATGTTGGAAGGATACGAAGAGAAATACGAAAATTGTTGAAAAATGTAGATAAACTCGTAAAAAAAGCATTAGCAAAAAAAAGAAATAAATAAATTACAAAAATAAGCGAAAGAAATGGGAAACGATCGGATGTTATTTACTTCTTCCATTGCTGACTGCAAATACTAATTACTACAATCTATCAGATAGTTGTATCCTTAAATTTAATCTTTCAATAATACGATAGTTGTTGGT